CGTGACACAGTTTAAACACAACCAGCACTGCTTCGGGTTGGTCTTGAAGTCATCGGTGAGTTTATTGAAATATTGAGAATACTTGGATTTTGACACGGAATTAAAATCACGCCTTACGTCCGCAAACTCAGTGGCGGTCGCCGCACCGGGGTTTCCCCGCAGTCGTCGGAGAGCTGCCTCTTTCAACCGAAGAGCAGCTCGCACCGCGCAGTCGAACCAGGGGACAGTCGGCGCCGGAGCATCACCATGGGGGCGTGGTCGGCGATGGCCGACGCAAGCAGTGTGTAGGATGTGTCCACCGCTTGGTCGACTCCGACGGCATCCAGCAGCCCCCACGGGAACAGGGAGAGACTTCATCGCAGACCGTCAAAGTCAGCTTTCTTATAGTTGAACGCAGTGCGCCGATTGACCACAGGCCGGCTGCTTGCCTGCACATTGAGGGTGGCGATGGTCTCTTGGTGATTTGAGTTCAGAAGATCGTCTTGAACATGGACCTGTGACGATATGCGTCGGGCAGTACTAGGTCCGGAATGTTCTCACCTCTACTGGGTTGGCAGATACACTGACCCACCTGAAGTTTCAAAACCGGCTCCCCGCTAGTTTTCTTTCATCTTATTTAATTCAAGACAGGTGCCTCGCTTTTGAACGCTCGGTCCCGTACAGAATGCATACACCCGCCGCGACTCCGATCTCTGCCTGAACCGTTTCAAAGGCCTCATCGAGCGTGAGCTGTCGGTGAAGCAAGGTTTGCACTGTGTGTGAGGAGAGGGGGGCGGCGGATTTCGCTGTTAACTGGGGGAATGGGCAGTCACTGGTGATGATTACAGCCCAAACCCCCTCCAGTTGACATGTTAAACTAAGACCGCCTGTGGGTAGCTATTGCTTTTGTGATGTTGCGATGCCATCACCTTCATATGGTAGGCCAGTCTGCAACCATGTGGCAAACAATTTGAACAGGATGACACCTGGATTTAGATTTAAAAACAATTGACTGCAATATGTGGTAGCTTTTTAAAGTACAGGGTGGACCAAATAAAAGATATAAGTCGTGTTTCCCCCAACAGTGGCATGTGTGATTGTCACACAATCGTCATAATGGTGGTATTCGACTGCCCATTGAATGGCAAAACACGATCAGCGACAGTGAGAGTCAGCAGTGGTTCCACATCCGTCAAGCTCAAGATGGGGGTCAAGCTCATACGTAACCTTTTGGCTCGTTAACTTTCCGGCCATCTTCAGGAGTCATTGTGGTTTGAAAGAGCTTGGATGGCATTCAGATTGCAGCCATTATGCGTTACAATGCGAATATCTCCTTGGATTTGCTGAGGTTCGAACCGGGATCTTTTGTTTGCGAGTCGGCAGCGCTCTTCCATTGAGCCGAGCACGTACATGAAACATTGTGCACATACCGACGCATCAAACGAGTACAGAAGTCTGAACAATTTGTCCGTCGGCAACACTAATATCTGGTCTCAATCATCCGTAAACAAAAACAGGCCAGTATTGTGCTGCTTGTTTTTTACCACATCAAACGACTACTGCATTTGCTGTAATTCAAGTTGTGTTACGAATATGACTTTAGCCATGCATAGCACATGCGGGTGTTACCGATGGAAATTAAATACACCGCGTTGCCGGTGCGTAAAATTGTCCTGGACACTTGCATGCAAGACTTCATGTAATCATATGTCTGCGTCCAAGCCGTCCAGAAAAATCGGTTTCTGCATGACAAATTTCGAATTTGTGTCTGAATGAATATATATATATATATATATATATATATATATATATATATATATATATAGGAGTGAAGAGTCCTCCACAAATGAGACCAAAGGGTAAGAGCTCTCGATCAGAGTAGAGGGTCCCTGAGCATCGAGTATCTCCGTGCCTTACCTTATAAGAGCCCTGGCAACAGCACAAGGCCCTCCAAGTAAGTGGAAAGAACCCGAGACTTATATCAAGGGCCTCTGAGCAACTGCGTGTACCCTGGCGTATGGAACCCCGGAAAAAGTGTAAAGAGCCTTTCGGGAGAATGGGAAGAATCTGTGGAGGAAAACCTGATCGATCAAGAGTGCTCAGGCATGGAGGCAGATGGCGTCCCAACAGCACATTGGGCCCTACGAGAAAATGCAGATTAAGGACAGCGTGGAAAGCTCCTTAGCGATCAGAGTGTGATTGATATCCGGCAAGTGGACGTATAGGGCCAAACAACCAAGCATGCCTCTAGACAGCGTAATGAACCACAAAATTTCCCCAAAGCAAAACTTTCTCAACCAGTGAAAATTAACCTGGTTTACTTATGAATGCTTTACTTTTGCTAACAATGGTTCTTGGTCGTCTGTAGGCCCAAATGGATCCAATTTTGTTGAGTTTGTATTATAAAAAGCTGCCTTCGTCCGGCCGGTTATGGGCCCCTTCGAAGCCTATAGGTCCCTTCGGCATGGTCCATGGGGCATGATCCTGTGCCTCCCCTCCTCTCTCCTCTCTGCATCCGCCACCGGCTGGAGCAGCTGAATAGACGGGGCCCGCCAAGCATACAGGACCATCCATTCAAATAAGAAATACGACACAAGGTGTAGGGCTCCGAACGATCGGGCGCGCCCGGGCACGTTAACATATAGGGCCTCCGTCAGGAGCGTGGCGCCCTTCATCCGTATGGGAAGCACCGAAGTCCCCGTGTAAATGCCCCCAGAATGATGGAATGTGCCCGGGCAGCTTATCAGAAAGGGCCCGACAAGAGCGTAGGGTCCTCCATTGAAACAAGAAGTAGCCAAAACCCAGTGCGGAGGGCCCCCGAAAGATGGAGTACACCCGAGCAGATTATCAGGTGGCCCAGACAGGAATGTAGAGCCCTAAATTCAAACACCAAGACCCAATAAGTGGGGCCACGAACAGCCCAGTTTGGCCGAAGCGGCGAACAGATAAGGTCCTGACAAGTGCGTAAGGCCTTCCATTCAGAAAGGAGGTACCCAAGACGCGATGTAAAGGGCCCTGAATAATCGGGTGCACCAGAGCAGGTTAACAGATAGGGACCCTGAAAAAGTGGAGGGCCCTCCATTCAAAAAGGAAGTACCCAATACCCGATGCAAAGGGCCCCCCGAAAGATGGAGTGTACCCGAACAGGTTATCAGATGACTCCGATGGGAGCAGAGGGCCCTAAATTAAAACACCAAGAACTAATGCGCAGGGCCTCCCGAGCAATCCAGTGTGGCCGAGGAGGCAAACAGAGGGGGCGCCGACAAGTGCGTAGGGCCCCATTCAAATAGCATGCGCCCAATGCCCAATGCAGAGAGCCCCGAACGATCGAATGTGCCCGAGCAGGTTGTCAGATCCCCCTCCCCCCCCCCCTACAACAACGCAGCCCCCCCCCATTCAGAAACGAGGTACCAAAGACCCAGTGTGGAGGGTCCCCCGAACGACTGAGTGTGCCCAAGCAGGCTATCAGATGAGCCCCCGACAAGAGTGCAGGGTCCTAAGCAAGAGACAGGGCATTGGAAACGCCCTAGACCAATGCAGAGGGCTTTTGGGGGCATATCACAAATGTGTCGTTAGGTTAACCGATACCCACGTAAAGGGCTCCTAAGCAAACGAGAATACCCGACAGGTTGAGATATGGGACCCCGGCTGTAGCTCCCAGAGCCTTTCTGGCGAATGGAGAGAATACGTGGAAGGACCCGTGATTGACAAGAGTGCCCCGGCACGCTAACAGGAAGGACTCCAACAACGGCGTAGTACCCTCCGAACAAATGCAAAGAAATGAAAAGCAACGTGGGATACTCCTTAACCATAGTAATGATCCTGAAAGTGGGCATAAAGGTCCCCCGGAAACAACATGGGCTTCTAGACAGTGTAATAAGGCTTAAGATTTCCATTTCACAACTATTCCAATCATTGAATAATTTTTGACTTCTCATAGGCCCTTTACTTCCGCTTATAACCGTTCTTGGTCGCCAGGAAATCCAGACGTACCCAGTTTTGTTGTGTTTTGTGTTCTAAAAAAACTGCACCTGTTTGATCGGCTGTGCCCTCTCCCCCCCCCCCCCCCCCCGGAGCCAATGGGCCTCTTCGAGTACCAAAGGGGGCCATGGCCCCATGCCCTCCCTTTCTGGATCCGCCACTACAAGTGACGATTGCGTTCATTTTGTGATGAAAATTTGTGAACATTTTGTGATGAAAAGAAATTGAAGTCATGAGCGAACCCTAGTACGAAGCACTGCAGGCATTGGGGCGAGGGTCGCTGCTCGAGTTTTAACCTTTTGGATATTGTGAATGCCGCTGAGGGTAATCGAATAGTCATGGCGTCACTCGTGGAATATCCGTGCTGCCGGCAGAAAGATGTGGCAGACACAGTCAAACGCCGGTTAAGCTGAGCTATTCATATCCAGCGCTATTTGGCCAACATTCATGGATGCCGGCTGAAACAAGTTATCTGAGATGCTCAGGATTACCGTCTCATTTAAATGACTCCTACGAAGCCCGTGCCGGCTCAAGGTATCAGGGAGTGTGGTGTCAAATGCGTCGCAAGCTGCTTGCACACCAGTTATTCGTGATATCTTGAGTATTGTGATATCTTGGTTACGCAGTTCCTGCCGACGCCTGGATAGGGACCAGTCAAGTGAAAACCTACCAACATTGGCAAACCCATTAACCAACTGCACCACCGAAGAGGTCAGGGCGAAATACAATATACGCTTGGGATTTGTCATCAGGGTATAGACTCTAGTGGTGCATCTCCAGTTTCAAGGGCATTGAGCCGTATTACTGTATGGAACCCGAACATCTTATGCCGTTAGATGGGAAAATTATGCCGTGTAATTTTACTTTTAAAATTATTTGAGAACCCCAGTTAAGTTTTGAGGTTTTGGAAGCGCCAAAATCGCTCAGAGGAGTAGAAATGACGTCACGGGCAAATTTCTCAACGATATCGACCATTTCGACGTGTCAACAAATTGCAAACCTTGATTTGTCGTGCGTGGCGGCGGCGTCTAGCTGCGACATTGCGGCGCGGCGCTCCCGCTTGGTGCTGCAGTGAGGGGGCATCGCGAAGTGTGTCGGTGTTAGACAAAGAGCGTTTCAAAAGTTGTACTCAAGTCTGGGTTTGCGACGGAATATAGCGCGCAAATATGGACGCTGTGTACGAAAACGTGTCTGTGCATTTAGTCTTAGATACTGGAGTTACAAAACGACACATTGAAGATAAAGCGAAGTTGTGCCTCAGCTATGATCCAGCCGGTCTCAGCGCAAAGATCCACCAAGGTTCGTACATTTGTTAACGTAGGCACTAACGGCATGTGTCATAAAATGTGAGACAAAAGTGTGGGCTGCAATTAGAATATTTCACAGGCCAGATTGCAACTAATCCGTCGACTGTGCCGGTCGTTTATGTGGCAGCGGCGCGCTGCGCCCGGGGCATGTGTGCGTTGAGCTGGAGTCAAGCCAGAGTACGCCGAAGTTGTAAATTGTTTTTGTTTGGGACAATTTTTTAGATATTTTGTGCAATGGTTTTGAGCAACATCATAGTTTTTGAAACATTGGAGTTCATGAGCTGTAATTGGTGATGACCAAGCATCAACTTCAGGGCTCTTGGTCATGCATGTGCTTGCACTGAAATTGTTACAGAGCTGTTGCTGTGCCTGTCAGTTAACATGTATTTTAGTCAGTATTGGAAATTTGAAAAATGCCTGGTAGCAGATTACAAATTTTATATAATTGAGTACAAGATTATCCAAGTGCTGCAGATCATTACATCTTTATTTAGGTGATCTTTGAGAGCCAATGGTACAATGGGTGGCACTCAACAGAAGTGCCACTTTTCATATGCAGCAATTCAGGTAAAAACACTTGAAATGAAAAAAATATCAGTGGTCAGGGTATACATTGCTACCTCATGTTAAAAGAGAGCATTGTACATCAATTGTCAGTTTTAAGGCAGAACATATCATAATGAATCGTAAAACAGGTCATCTAAACTCTTACCTTGGGACTTAAATAACTATGCTAGTAAACAACTGAGTGCTGCAAACATGGCAATTGCAGCCCTGGGGCCATTGCTATGCATGATCACAACATTACTGCCACAACATTACTGTGCATCAAGAATCATAAAAATGTAGGGGGACAAGCTAGCAAGAATCCAATGAAATACGTCTCTTGTGTATCCAAGCAGTCTGCCTCATCATTTGTAGATTGGTTGACATTGTGGGCAAATATGGCATTTTTGGGTGGGAATGAAAAGCCAAATGAGAATATGGTGGCTACACAAAACTTCTTAATATGGTACATATATATGGCATGGAACATGGATGCCAATGGGACACTGGTTGGAAGGGATAGGGTGGGGAGGTTAGGCTAAGTTAAGTTAGGTTATGTTAGGTCGGGTTGGGTTAGTTAAGCTTAGTTTAGGCTATGTTCTGGACTTTTCTGGCTTGTCTGTTTCATAAACGTACCTACATGCGATAAGAAGAGTTTTTCATTGCATTATTATTGTTACCTTGGCCCCATACATTTTTATGGTTCTTGATATGCAGAAATATTGTAACCACACAGTGATAAAGCAGAAACGGCGCTGGGGAGTCGAGGCGGTGGGGTGTGTGCGGCTCTGGGGAGCTCGCTATCGTAGTCATGAAAATTTGAAGGTAGGAGTAAGAACCTACCTGTTTGATAATTATTTATGATATGTTTTTCCTCAAACATGGCAAATGATGTACAATGATTTTTCTAACATTAGGTACCAATGTGTACCTACACCACATCAGTATTAAACATGGTACACTGAAACAGCACAGTCTCATACTCTGTACTATGAAACACATGTGCATTTACATTGGTTTGCAATTAATGAAAGGTTCTGTGGGTACACACTCCAAAGCAGAGGATAATTACGCATCAGGCTTATACACTCCAAAATGGAGGGTGGCTACACACTAGGCTTCTACACCATCCAAAACAGAGGGTGGGTACCATACACTCAGTCAGACAAAAATGGTACAAGAAAATGCAAATGAGCATGCCGCAGACGGCCACCTACTCACGCTCCACCACGGTCACGCTACTCACGTTCCGTCAGTTAACTGGTTTTAAAAACAGTTAAACATTCATGCCCTCCACCTTCCCATGCGGGGTCAACACGCAAGGCCCTGCACATCCCAGCCGAACCATAGATAGGCAGTACTCTTAATGGATTTACGGAGCCAGTGTAAGTACAGTGCCTGACAGACCCGTGCGGGCCGGCCAAAAGGGATCGGAGTCAGTCACTCCGCTGACTTTGGCGGCGGATAATGCAAGGTATTTATGGATTTTAATGCGCTCTAACCGATATCATTGCGAAATATGATACTTTATGTTGCAAGTTATTTATGTTTTTGTCCTAATAAACCCCCCTGCTTAGTTTGCCGGGTCAATGTTATGGGTTCACGTTACTCTGGTGTCCTAATGTTTTTGCCAGAGTGAGATGACTGTTTCCGAACAGTTTTTTTGGCCATTTATAGCAACGTTTTATGACTTCAGAGGGCATTTTTGTAAAGCCCGAATTGCCAGCTTTACTTTGACACCCTTAAGTGACAAGTTTAATGTGGTTTAAATCTACAGGTGCCATAACATTTTAGTACTCTGGATACCAGGAAGTGGCCAAAGTCCAACCACGTGGCGGTTCTGGATGAGCACAAATAAGTCCTTCATAATCATGATGCCCATCGCTATACAGCTTCCCTACAAATGTTAACAAATTTGTTCAAGGCATGATCGCGAGCAGAATATTTATGCTCTTGAATCAGCCATGAGGAGGCAAAGCATTAAAACCAATTGGAGAGTTTTGCTGTTTTCAACCTCCAACCTTAGCTGGAAGGCAGGTGCAAGCCGCTGAATAGTTAGACGTTTCGGACGCTGAATTGCGAGTGATTCTCTTATTTGCATTGCCCATGACACAGTGTTGGCACATGGGTAGGCGGCCGTCTGCGGTAGGTGATTGGGTGTGCGGTTTTCTATGGATGTTTTTGGCATCCTGGGCAAATAATGCTGTTCGTCGTCAATGGTTGGTTAAGTCTTGTCCAGTCTTGAGTTAGTCTGTGTAGGGCATAGGAAGTGAGAGCATTGCTAATCTACAGACCGGTGTGATTTTGGTACTTGTTTCTCATTTCCCAGTATTGTTTGAAGGTTGATTCCATTCAACCATCATATGCTTTATTTTTCACATTTCCATACACGGTTTATCATACACCTAGGTGGCAACACAGGCTGCTTGCTGTTGGGCATCTTGGTCTGGTGGGTGCAAGATTTGTGCTCTTGCAGATATTAATACATGGCTCCTGATGTAAGCAGCATGGTTTCAAGCTGTTGCACCCTCTGGTTTCATTTTGTCCTGACACAAATAGGCAGAATGAGTATTTCCAAAAGCTGTTCTTGTTGCATCATGATGGAGTACAAAATATTTCATTTTACATAGTCACAGTCCTGGAGTATAAAATCTTGTGGTATACATTATACCAGGAAACATCAAGTTTTCCGACACCATTAACAGTAGTTCTTGTTTGATCATAATAATTTATCAGGTACTCAGCTCTTACATGGTTAGCCAGAGATTGGAGAGAAGATTGGCAAATGTGATAAAAGAGTAGTACTCGTGCAAATAACGTTCAGATGCAAAGGAATCATTGTACAAAAATACTAAACACTGAAAGATTACTGGGGTAGCAGCACAAACTCAGGAAGAGAATCATTGTATTTTCCTTTAAATGTTTACTTTATGTACATACAGCTACTCAACTCTGGTCATATTGATTAGTCTCTTGCATCAGAAAACTGTTCTCCTTTACACTCACAGAGGCATGGAGGCATGGTTTTGTCTGAATTTCAGCAGTGAGAACAGCAGCGGTGTGTGATTGGCCTGACATTATGAAACATAAAGTGGAGCCCACCTCTATTATCAGCTTGCATATGATATTTAGGCATGCAATCCATCACCTTCAAAGTGCATATGAGCATATCTTAGCAGTGCATTGTGACATGTTATCACATTACATTATCAGTGTTATATCAGTGCTTTCCTCCTGTCAGCAGGAACAGGTGTGCTGCTGTTGCACCTGTGTTTTGTGTGTGCTGTTTTTCATAATACTGGCGTTCACCCGTAATGGATATGCATCAGATGCATGCACAAGATATAATGCCTGACATGCCAATAAGTCACATTTCCATCTTTGGACATTTTGGTGGTGTTGAAATGACGTCCATAGAACAGCTGATTGAAGAGAGATGCTCCAAACATTGTGCTTCCAGCATTATGTGTAATGCATAATACCATTGCGAGATGTGAATGCATGTGAATGCCGGCAAACGTGTATCGGTGTGCGGAGCCGGTCTTGCGCTCCGAGTGCAACACAGGTTTGGTCGTCTTTAAGACTCGGTGTTCGGCCTCAACAGTCAGAGCACAAAAAGATATTTCAAACCACCTACACCGCGTAGGCGAAACTGCCATCTTCGTCACTTTGTAATATAAACACTAGGGATTATCCGGCGGAGGGGTGTGCTTCGAAAGCAATTTCGATCTTGGTTTGCAGATTGGTGAAAGATACCCGAGGAGGATAACTGTTTTTTTTCTAACTTCAAAAATACGAATGTACTGTCCAGAAATCCCCAAGTGGTGTCAACACTATCAGACCCATGCGTGCGCCGGTCACTAATTAAAAAGCAGTCGTTGTCGCTCATCGTTGGAAATTCTAAAGAAATCCTGGTAGCAGAGTACAACTTTTTCAAAGTGGAGCACACAATTCGCGAAGTGGTGTCAATCATTTACTTTTATTTAGTTTGTCATTAGATTACAGTACAATGGGTGGTACTTAACAGAATGGCCGCATTACATATACAGTAGTTCAGGTAAAACCACTTGAAATGAAAGAAAGCGTCAGAATTTAACACGATACCCGGAAATGACAATCTCAGGCTCGGTGACGTGAAACTTATGTACATATAATAAGGGGTAATCTGTGAAACAAAGCTCACCATCCCCTGGATCTAGGCGTCTACTTCTCCCAAACTATTGCTGTGAATAATAAACATGACATGCGACTCTCCCACAGCTACCAACAAGTCGCTTAGTGGGGGGCGTATTTCGCAAAATAAGTTGGGAACTGACTGGGGGAAAATGGCACAACAAAATGCCGATGAAGAATGTACCACAGACGGCCAACTACAGACGCTCCACTACAAACACGCTACTCAAGCTCCACGATGATCACGCCACTCACGCTCCACCATAATCCCGTCACTTACGATCCACCATGATCCCGTTACTTACCATCCACCATGATCACGCTACTCACGCTCCACCATGATCACGCCACTCACGCTCCACCATGACCACGCCGCTCACGCTCCACAATGATCACGTTACTTGCGCTCCACCATGATCCCATCACTCACGCTCCACCATGATCGCGTCACTCACGCTCCAGCATGATCACGCCACTCACGCTCCACCACGGTGGGCGTGGGTCACTGAATGGTTGAGACTTCCGACACTGAATTGCGGGTGATTCTCCTATTTGCATTGCCATGGCACAGTGGTGGAGCGTGAGTAGGTGGCCGTCTATGGTAGGTGCTGGGGTGTGCGGCTGTTTGTCACCGTTCGTTGCATCCTTGGCGATTAGTGCGGTTCATCTAAAATGGTGGGCTAAATCATATCCAATTTTGAGTTGGTCTGCACAAGGCGTAGGAAGAATGAGCTCTGTTAATTTGTAGACCGGCACGATTCTGCTTCTCGTTGCTCATTTCCCGGCATTATTAAAAAACGACTCCATTCAGCATTCACACGCCTTATTTGCCTCATTTCCATATTTGATTTGTCATATAGCCGGGTCGCAATACAGGCTGCTTGCTATTTGTCATTCAAGTCTGGTGGGTGCAGGATTTGTGATCTTGCAGATGCCAATGCATGGCTGATGATGGAAGTAGTAAGTGCCAAGCTGTTGCACCTTCTTGTTTCATTTGGTTCTGAAACGGAGGCAAAATGAGTTTTTCCAAAAGCCGTTTTTGTTGTGTTATGGCGGAGTACAAAATATTGACGTTTTTCTAATCATAATTCTGGAGTACAAAGTCTCCTGGTATGTATGATGTCAGGAAACATAAATTTTTCAAACACCGTGGCACTTCTCTGAAACTGGCTTCGAATATACCCTGGTATGGGTTAAGGCGAGGGAGGTCGGATATGAAAGGTGTTCAAGTGTCACGCAAGTGGTGCTGTTATTTGTAACCTGCAGCCAACCAAATCTTCATGATTTTTGCAATGTTTTGGTCGCAGCCGCCAGGGCCAAGTCACTGCGGTGTACCGGTTTCATCGTCGGGAATCACCAGGTCTGGTCGGACTCACGGTCTGTCAGTTTGCCGGTTCTGGTCGGACTCGGTTAGCAGGTCTGGCCGTACTCACTGTCTTCCAGTTTGCTGGGTCTGGCCGGACTCACGTTTCGCCAGTTTGTCGGTTCTGGCCGGACTCACGTTCTGCCAGTTTGCCGGTTCTGGCCGGAGTCACGGTCTGCCAGTTAGCCGAGTCTGTCCGGACTCACGTTCTGCCAGTTTGCCGGTTCTGGCCGGAGTCACGGTCTGCCAGTTAGCCGAGTCTGTCCGGACTCACGGTCTGCCAGTTTGCCGGTTCTGGCCGGACTCACGGTCTGCCAAGTTGCCAGTAGCATTACTTGTGAATGAGCGCGTGAATGCTGCATGGGTGATCCCCTACTGCTGGGCTGCCATGAAAGACGTAAATTCCTGGCGCCACGATGAATAACTTCACGTCTATTGACGGTCTCGCTTGTCCCACGCCGTCGGCTTATTTTGGGTTAATGACACTGTGGGATAGACTATTTCATTTGCATGTGAGAACTTGGCACCTCTGTGACATGTATGCCGTGCGTAACATTTACTGAAATGAGCAATTGCGCTAAATATGTTTTTCAGGTGGGCAGGTGCGGCTGGAATTCCCCATTTCGAGGACGACGGATTTCTGCAAAGTGGGGAGAACATCGTACATGTTCTCCCTGAGCAGTGACGCCTTTCTGATCGTCTTCTCCAGCACACCAGGTAGGCAGTTGACGCGATCGTCAACAGCTTTAAGGCCACTTGCTGGGTGCCTTAGTCGTAACTTTAAAAAAAAATTGTGGAATATATTATGCTTTCTGATATTCTGCAGTGCATTGGTGGAATGGATTTCGCTGAATGTATCACGTTATGCCAGCCCTTTGTGGCACGTTTCTACAGTTTCAGTTGCTATTGTCTGGACAGATAGCACAGGATGGCCTGGGCAGGTCCCTCCCGTGTCATGTTGATCATGTTTCGCTGTAACCCTTCGTCTCTCCCCTCCCCTGACCCGCAGTTTGTCGACGTTTCCCGTCGTTTCCCTGCCTATCCGAGGTGCCTCGGTAGTGCATGTGGTTGTCAGCACTTGTCCGACGCCATGTCGGGGTCAGGATTTTAAGACAAATTATTCTCAGTGGTTTGTATGTGAATAGAATCGTTTGTGGAGAAATTAAAAAATTGGAGGAGTTATCAATGGTAAGGAGGGTCCAGTTATCAGTCTGGTTTGGTCCAAGCCATCATGGTGTTTTGATTTGGTTGTTGTTGATGAAGTCTAGATAATGTGATATTTATATGCTGGGCTAATGAAGGCTTAGAGTACAGAAGTGAATGGAAGGTTACAAAAAAGGCAGTCTAAAGGTGGAAAATTATGATGCTGGGTGGTATTCACTGTGCACCATTTTCAATTGTCCAGATGATGCGGCGCTAATTCTAACGGTCGCCTTTGGTAGCATTCTTCTGAAGGTACAGACAACATATGATTTCCGATTTTGCTTGCAGCATTACGTGCAACCTGATTATTACCTGCAGTATCTTTGAGACGGCAACCATCGGAGCTGGAATCTTTGACCGCTGTTATTCACAGTTGCATTGTGTTCCACAGACTGTCAGAGGTTTCACTCCTACATGCAAAAGTTCAAAGCCGGTCAGGCCGTCTCCGTCTTCTCGGAAAGAACTGAGGAAGCGTCGGCTACGCAATACTTCCAGGTAAGTCTGGGTAATAACCCGTCTCATGCTCGTCTCATGCACGCTCGTCAACGCCCGACCATCTTGATCTGTCCAGGTGCGGCTCTTGGTGCTGCACGCTCGCGGTCAGGAGCCGCGCTGCAGCCATGAACCAAACGCGCCGGGTGGTTTGAGCTAGTCGGCTTGTCACTGATCATCGCCGCGAGCATCCCATGTTAATGACTAGCGGCGTTCGTGTGTACTACCAAAGCGATGATTTGCGTATGACGGCGGCTGTCCAACTGGTCATCGTCATCGCATTTCTCACGTCTGTAGATCGCTCACAGACCGTATTTTTGTACTGGAATGCGGGTTGACCGGACGAGGATCCTGAACGGGTCGTCTGGGACTCTCCTCTGACTCACTCAGTGAGCGACTGCCAAGAGCCTCATGCCGCGCAGCAAGAATATCCCCGACCGCGAGCCGCCATCTTGTTTGTTCCATCCCTCGATCCCGAATGGATATTGTATGATCGTTGAACCGGAGAACGTTCGGTGATGAACGGGAAAATGTTCACTGGAAATGAACTGTCGGTGACGCTGCAACGCCAGACTCATGTAAACTGATGATATCGCATGGGGCTTTAACGAGTGTAGCAGTTGTTTGCACCGACAAATAATCGCAGGCCGATTACCCAGTGATATTCGCCGTAGGTATCCTGGTTGACTATTTGCGAAACCTCAGGTCTTTGCTGGCTGCCACTGGAGGGCGCAGTATAGACCTGTATGTTAAATTGATGTGTGCTTTGCAATGCTGTATGGGTGTTTGGCATATGCTTGTGACTCGTATGATTTTAATGGAAACAGGGCATGTCATTCTGAAGTTCATTCGAGAAGGTGGACGGTTCTCGACAGTGACGTGGCTAGTGTTGGACAAGAGAAAACCTATTTCGTCAACAAACCTTTTTATCGCTGTCGGTGCCGAACTGGACGATGTTTATTCGTCCCCCATCCCCCCCCCCCGGAGTTTACCCGATCCTCGCCCTGTCGTACTGACCGGCTGGCTGGATGTTTGCTGGCGGCTGGACAGGACCGTCCATGAGGTCAGCTGACTTCGGTCGCCCTGGTGGCAGTTTTACAGCTACCTGTCGCAGCAGCAGAATATGATGCAGGACTACATCCGGACGGGCACGTACCAGCGGGCGATCCTGTCCAACGGCGCCGACTTCCTCGGCAAGGTATGGCTTGGCTCGACGGTTTGGCCAGGCCCTGCCAGCGGCAGACGTGACCGCAGAGACTGCCGCACGCAGGCCATGCCATATCTAGTGCTAAGCTTGTCGAGCTATTTCGCACGCACGTTCCGTTCGTTTTCTGTGCACGTGGCCATTCTGCGCGGCAGCATGTCCGATGTTGGGTACACGTAACGTCGGCCAGTGGAATCATAGTGTACCCGCCTGATGGCCCGGTTGGCTCTTCGAGCCGGATCGGAACAGAACGGACCTGACGAGGGAATCGCTGGATTTGCCGCCCGGTTTCTCCCACCTCGGCCGGGCTGGGCTTGGGCTGCCGTTAACCAACGGCGTCGTGTGACCGTAGCCGCCTGCTGCCACCCCGGCGCCCGTCTTGGCTGTGACCCTCCGGAGCCGCCGCTGACCTGACGGTGACCTTCCCTCCCCTCTCCCAGGTGGTACTGGACGTGGGCGCCGGCTCTGGCATCCTCTCGTTCTTCGCGGCCCAAGCCGGTGCCAGGAAGGTGTATGCCGTGGAGGCCAGCTCCATGGCTGAGCACGCCACCGTGAGTCCCGTCTCCGCCGCCGCGGTGGCAAGCGCCGCGCGCCATTTCCCTTACCCCTTGCGGTTGGCCGGGCTAGTCGGCAAAGGTCACCGTGATCTTTCGAGTTAGCGCGAACATTTAATTCCGGCCGCGTGCTCGCTGTAGCTGACTGCCCAGCGGGCGGGCTGTGAACGCAGTGCCCGGCTCACGTCCGGGCCCGCACCGGCGTGACATGTGCAGCTGATGGCCCGGCCGCCCCGCCGCCCGCTGACCGACGCGTAACCGCCCGCCCGGCTGTCTCTTCGTCCCCAGAGGCTGGTCGAGTCTAACAACCTGCAGCACGTGATTCACGTGATCTCCGGCAAGATCGAAGAGATCGACCTGCCCGAGAAAGTCGACATGATCATTTCAGAGCCCATGGGTTACATGCTCTACAACGAGCGCATGCTGGAGACGTACCTACACGGCAAGAAGTGGCTCAAGCCCGGAGGTGGGTCGCATCGGCCTTGCGTATATCTGTGTACCTTATTGCTCATTGTTTTGCGTCGCTGTTCTTGCTGACTGCAGTGATGTCCACGCGGGCAGCGCCGGTGCGTCGGAGGGATCCGTTAGTAGCATGGCTTCCGACCTAGCGTGCGGGGTTGTGGGGCCCGATGTAAGTGGAGTAATGGGTTAGGAGTACGTCATTACTGAAAATCACGTAGTGAAATCCCAGGTTTAAACATAAGCCAACAAGTCGCAGCGGTTCAATGCGAAATTCCATGAATGTCAAGCCACCTGGTGTGTTCCACGCGGAGTCTTGGTGCCCCATTTATTCAGTGGTACCTACGCTGTTATCTTGGTACCTAAATTAATGTAATGATCCAAGTCATAGTTCGCGCGGAGCCCATCACATCGCGGTCCCGAGGCTGTGAACTGGTTCGGGAGCGACTTCTCATCTGTTGAGTGTCATCACTGGATGGCGGGTTTCCTCGAGAACCGACAGCGATCAGACGGGTTAATGTCTCTCTCGGGGCTCGGTTTGATGAGTCTAACCAGAATCGGCCTCTGTGCGCGGTGCCGGACCGGAATGAGCTGATCTCAGATGGCACCGACTTGGCATTTTCCACTCCCGCAGAGCAACAGTCGCGGCGCGTGCGCGCGCGCGCGCGTGCGTGCGTGCTTGCGTGCGTGCGTGCGTGCGTGCGTGCGTGCGTGTGTATGTGTGTGTGTGGTGCATATCAATCAGTTCTCGGCTGGGTTTGTGGCCTAGACGGGAGCCATCTGGCAGGACAGGCCCGGACGGACCGCGTGACTCATCCCATGCCGTGACGGGTTGCAGGCAAAATGTTCCCGGGCCGCGGAGACTTGCACATAGCGCCCTTCCAGGACGACGCGCTCTTCATGGAGCAGTTCGGGAAGTCCAATTTCTGGTAGGAAATCCCGAGACTGGTTTTACGAGCTACGTCGTCTGGTCGCGTGACGTCCGTGTGTTCTTGTGTCCTTGCGACCTTCGATCATTAACCCGATCATTGATTGTGATTTGCCCTGGTGCACGTAAGGATATCCGGTAGGTGAATGTCATCGGTGCACGTGCGGCGCGTTAAGCCGCTTCAGGACCTATGTTCTATGGTGGAACCGCTTCCCCTCCGCCATCCATGATCACCGGCTGACCGCCGCAGGTACCAAAACAACTTCCACGGCGTGAACCTGACGGCGCTGCAGGAGAAGGCCGCAGAGGAGTACTTCCGCCAGCCGATCGTCGACACGTTCGACGTGCGCATCTGCATGGCCAAATCCGTGCGACACGTGCTGGACTTCGAGCAGGCCGAGGAGCGCGAGCTTCACCAGCTCGGTACGTGGCCCGCCGGCACCGGCTCAGACGGGCGGCCCGCCGGCACCGCGTGGCGGACCGCCTGTCGCCTGTGAACTGCGGTGGCCCTCAGACGGGCGCGCGGCTCGAGCGGGTCCGCTCCTGGTGCCGCCTCTAGGGCAGGCACCGGGCGGACGGGCGCTGCTCGAGGGGGACGTGGGGTGGCCGGCCGGCGGCGGTCGATACGGTCCGGCGCCCCCGCTCACGGCGCCGCTCTGTCGGCCGGCACGACCCCTGGGACTGCCGGCGCCGCTGCCGGCCGCCCACCCGCCCACCGCCGGAGCAGGGAGGGTGGCGGTGGCCGCAGCCGCCCGTGCGGTGTCCCCGGGGCCGCCAGACAGGAGCATTTGGGCGAGCCGCTTGGAGAAGCATTGGGCTGTGGACTGCTCTGCTACGAGCTCTCCGAAGACCTGTTGAATGTGAAACGGGCCGGATGATCTGGGATTAAGTGCTACTATCCGCATGCTGGCATCTGGCCAGATGGCTAACTGGCCGTCACTGCAACCGGTTCCAGCAAATGAGAAGCAGAACCGGCGGTCGGTGTATTGGCCATGCAGGAGTTGTTGAGTGCGCAGTAGCGTGACCACAGGTCTCGTCACGTAAATACGAGCTGGTGGTCAGTGCGCAAATGGCTGCATACACCGGCAGTATTGTGTGTGGCCGGAACTTGTCCCGCTATCCACCGTAAACCCAAGTGTTTCGCCCCCTAAACGTGGTTGCATTCGTTCAGGCGCACGTACCGATTCGGGTTTTGTGTTTCTGATTGTTTAAACTGACCGCTCCACTTCATTGAGTCACGTTGTTACGTCTACAAGCGCTGTCATCGAAGCAACATGGCGCAAGAATCGGCCATGCCCACGAACATTTCCGTTAGCCTACTTCCAGCGGTCTCTTCCGTGTGGCCGGGCCCTGGTGCGAGGGGTACACGTGTTAACCCCCTCCCCCCTTCCCATAGACATCCCGGTGGAGTTTCACATGCTGGAGACGGGCACGGTGCACGGCCTGGCGTTCTGGTTCGACGTGTCGTTCTGCGGATCTCAGACCACAGTGTGGCTGAGCACGGCCCCGACCGAGCCGCTGACGCACTGGTATCAGGTGCGCTGCCTGCTGCGCGACCCGCTGCCCGCCAAGGAGGGACAGATGCTCACCGGCCGCGTCGTCATGAACGCCAACCAGAGGTGTGTCAACGGCACGGTCACGGTTACCGACCAGGGGACGGGTCTCGATCGTTGACCTGGGGTGAGGTTTGATCACTGCCCTGGGGACGGCGTCGCGATCACTGACCTGAGGGCAGGATCACGGTCACTGACTGGAGAAGGGATTGTCAATGACACCAGCTGATGGGTCACGAGCACGGGTTCGCTGATGAATGCAGGCCAATCTCACTGATGGGTGGATGTGGGTCACTTTAGGGCTGTGACTAGCCGGAGGGAGCGGTTACGCTTCCCGGAAAGCGAGAGAAGGTGGGGCGCAATGTCCAGAGGGCAGGGAAGGTTGCGTCACGTCCTGTGACCGACAGAGGGGCGCACGGTCGCTGACGGCGTGGGTGTAGCCGTCGGCCAGGAGCCGTCCTGACTGCCCCAGGTGTGGGGCTTCTCGGACCGGGTGACGTGGAGGGACCGGAGGACCAGACCCCGGCCGCGCACCACGATACAGCCATGGTGTCGGGCCGTTGTCCACTCCTCCCTCCGCGGCCGTCGTCTCCTCAGCGCCCGCGCCAGCCTTGACAGCTACAAGGCTGGCGCTGGCGCCGAGCCGCTCCGGGCCGGTCGACTGACCGCGCCGCTTCCCTTGTCCGCAGACAGAGCTACGACGTGACCATCACACTGCAGGTCGAGGGCACCGGCGTCTGGAGCACGGTCACGCTGGACCTGAAGAACCCGTACTTCCGGTACACGGGCGGCCAGCCGCCGCCGCCACCCGGGCACAGCTCGGCCAGCCCCAGCGAGCTGTACTGGTCGCAGCTGGACGCCCAGGGCGCCAGGCAAGGTCCGTGCCGGCCGGCCCCGGTCAGGGCCCCGGGACGGTCCGCTGTGCTGAGCCGGCGGCTCGCACGGCCCGAGTGGTGGTCTGTGGCGCAGACCGTCCTCGACACCGGTAGGTTCAAGGCGTCCAGGTGGGCCGGCGCGGGTGTACCGTGCTGGGCTCTCAGGAATCTGGCAGTTGGTTTGTGTAGTAAATTCCTGATGGGCCGTAGTGTAGCAATGGAAGGAACGCGGCCTGCGAAAAAAGAGAGCCCATCATAGTTAGTAAGTTAGTTATTTGGGCTTTCGGGCGCTCCGACCACGCGGTCGTATAGCGCCCACCCATCATTCATGCCCAATGTTCGTTCGTGTGTACGAGTGTACTGCGAAGAGAAAGATCCTGTCGCGTTGTGTACAGGATCCTAGATGGTGATGGTGAGCATGTTGGCGCGGAGTATACGGCAAATTGTGTCCTCCACAGCATGACTTGGCGGGAATTTATGAGATCATTGAAATTTTCCGATGTGCGCTGTGATTAAGAACGCCACGCTACGAGTGCATGGTGTGTGTGTTTGTGAAGTTTCGACACATCGGCGACGTTGCGCTAGCATACAACTTCGCCCCAAGGATTTTCTGGTGTTCACTTTGGACCTCTCGCTAGCATACAACTGTTTCCTAGCGTGTTTGTGGTGTTCACTCAGATTTACGTCGGCTGAAGTACGGCGCCTGTGCACCACTGGGCCCGCGTCCGGCTGGCGGCGCTCCGGTGTCTCCCGCCGCGAGGCCGGCCGGGTGCTCTTCGGCTGGCACTGACCTCTGTTGTCCCGCAGCAGTGAACATGCTGAACGGAATGACGGTGAACGGCCTGGGCGAGGTGGCCATGGACATGACGGGCGCACCGCACGCTCTGGTGGCAGGTCAGTCCGCCTCTCCTGCTCCCTCACCGCCGACGCCGGTGGGCCGCCTATTGCTCGTGATCTGCTATGCGTGGTTGTAACCTGGTACTGAATATGAGTACCATGCGCCACCCTCATTGTGGCTGAAGGGCGATTTTGTTCTGTCCGTGATACTTGCCGTCGGCGCGCTGTCCTTCGCCCTTACATGCACTGTGTGCCTCGTCCCTTCTATTTGGTATCACGACACAGGCGTGAGGATGTTCAGTATCAGAACCGTGCTTTTCGCACCTTGCTGCCGATTCATTAAACCGAAATTGCATGCTGATCGTACGTCTAAGCTCCTGAATTACTGAAGCCGCACTAGCCTGTCGTCGCCATGTGCCTCCGCCGCCCCCCGGCGCCGACCGTCGGGTCACCCTGCGTCGTCTCCGTCCGGCAGATGGCCTGGTGAACCAGGCGGCCATCCACCCGGGCTCCATCCCGACGGCGCAGGTGAACGCCGCCAAACGCTCTGTGGCGCCCACCATGTCGTCGGCCAGCCAGCTGATCGGCGGTGCCATCAGCCCGGCGCTGATGACGCAGAGCCAGCCGTACCCGGTCAGCACGTCCTTCATGATCGGCGACTACATGACGCCGGCCGGACCCTTCACCACCGCGCCGGCCTACAAGCCATGAAGGCCGCGTGTCGCGAGCGCGCTTCTGTGAAGCCGCCATCGTCGCGTCCCTGTCTCGCTCGCGCCCCGCTGCACTCATTGGACGCTTACGATGTGTTTGCCTGCTCTCATACGGTCGTCGGTTGCATTCGTCTCCTGTACAATTCTCATCGTTTCAGCGGGTAGAGTACGCTAACGTGCATGTGCTGTGTGCGCATAGGGGCACACGCGTCGTAATCTGGTGACTTGGCTCGAATACAGGCTGTCTGTAGACCCGGCAGACCGGTCGACCTCCGCGGGCGGACGACGGTGGGCACCGTCACGCGGCCTCCCGACCGGGGGCGCGGCCGACGTAGTGGAGAGGCTTGCGTCTCACGAGGCCGAGCCGCGCGACGGAGGACCCGACAGAGGGCTCAGTAGGTCCGGCGCATACAAACCGCAGAGCGGTGCTGGCGCCGGTCCACACTTCTGGGCGCGAGTGGCACTGGGACGGCAGTGGATAAGGTGGCACATATATATCCCCGGAACTCGGCACGGCTGTGTGGGGGGCACGCGAAGGGCGGTGGTAATCCAATGCCCTGCCGCCGGGGGGCGTGGGCGCGCCCTCGACACCAGCTTCGCTTCTCGCAGCGAGGATCATTGCCGTGGCGTGATGCTGTTGCTGGTTACGACCCGTTCTCACACGCAACGGAATTGCCGGGTCATTGCCATCCAGCCGAGTAATCAGCATATCGGTTTGGAAGCCTGGCACGCGACGAAATTCGGCAGAGCTCGGGTCCCGCTTCTTACCACGCCTACGTTATCGGCGGGATTAACTGGCCGCTCCAGGCTACACCGAAAAACAACTGACGGACGTAATCCAGCGCGTCCGTTAACGCCAACGGTTTTGGTCTGTCTGGGTGGCGGCCTCATCCTTGGTCCATCCATAATGGCCCGAGTTCGAGACCCACGTGGGAGAATAATATTCGGTATATGCGGAAGTGGCGGGGCGAGCCCATGCGAGCCAGTGCGTGGCTCGTGTTCCGCCCTGTAACAAACGGAATTGACACGGAGTGAAACGCAGCCAGATGTCTGTGCCTGGAATCCGCACGGCCGGCAACCGGCTCACTCCAATTTACGAACCTATCAGGCCAAATGGTGTTGTCAGGTACACGGATGATGTATCATGACCATCCATTGCAGAACTGACAGTAATATGTGATGTGATTGGTGGATCTGCGCTGCTGAACATCTCACGGCACCGCAAAGGCTGATGCTCATGAGCTGGTGACACCTGGCGCACAATTATGATGTATACCATGTGACGCAGGCGTCCTGCACATTTGTAGGCGGAACTATGTGGCGCGACCCATAATTCCTTCCTATGACATACTGAGAACATTGATCCACGGAACTATTCAGAAGCGTGCGCGAAGCACGATGACGGTGCAGAGAGAGTACCCACAAGTAGTGAACCGGAAGTCTCATACGAAGCAACCCGATTTCTATCACGGGGCTCGTAGCTCCGCAGAATCCGAAGGTTGTCATCGCAAAACCGCCAATGCTTCGCTGACGGCGTGCATCGCGCGAGGCGTGGCAGGCCACGCATGCCGGAGACGCAACAGCACGCATGTTACTTCACTGCATTACCAGCGACATTGATCCCCATTGATAGCAGCTTACCTCGGTGCATCACGGGCAGGCGTACGGCCGGCATTTGACTGGCGGCGGCGTCTAGTTCGGCGAAATTCAGAAAACGAGACGCTTAAATATTTGTCCGATTACGAAATTCTCCACATAGGCCGCGCTCGACCTGCCGGCAGCACGTTTGTCAGCACCAATCGCGGTCCAGTATTCGCCCTCCGCCACGTCTTGTGACCACGAAGTCACATCGCCTTTGGCGTCACGCGCCAGCTGGCGATGAAGCCCGGATTTTTATCAGCCCGTGAGCAAGGATGGAAACCGCTACCAGATTAAAAAGTCACTGAAGCGGGCGTTTTATTTGGCGAGTACGTTGGGTGGAGTGGTGGCAATGTCCAATTCGGGGGGAAATGCGACACGACATAGATGAGGTAATTAAAATCCCGAGAGCAGCAATGAAAAGGTGAGTGGCAATGATTGGTGTGGCGTTTGGTTGCATTCCCCAGAAAATTAATAGCGTTAGAAGTAAACACTGAAAATGGGAGGGAAGAAATTGAAAGGAATTGGAAATGGGAAGAAGCACTCAACAAAAGGATGGAATGGATAATGGTAATACCGGAGAAGCCACACTTCCCAACACCACTTTGCTCGTGTGTCGGCGGTAAGCCAGAGTTAGTGTGTGGTCTGAAGTGAAAGGTAAAGGAAGAAGGACAAGTAAAGTTTAAAAAACTTCACAACCCGTCAGCCCACAAATCGAGAAAAAAACGTCAGCCCACACATCGAACGCACATTCAGCACGTATGACGGCACGCATTCCAGCTGACAATCGTGCTGACGGCAGATCGAACGGTGCCCTAAGCACATGAATCCGCTGACGGCAAAGCGAGACAGGCCTAATTTACGGTCAGATTATCCTTCCGCGTGCCATATTGTCTCGTCGGTTGAGGACAGGCCTAACCAACAACGCAAGCTGATCATAACGGAAAAGATGACATGATCATGTTCTAGCCGCACAATTATTGTCGCTAGCCCTGGTACCTAAATCACGTTGGCAAAATAAACATTGGCTAAGTACCATCACGTATGTATGTGAAGAGCTGATCATGTTGCTCGTAGCTGGAATCCCACTAGAAACACGTGAAAATCGCTTGCAAACATTGTGCATCAGTGATGACTCGGCCGAGTTTCCAAGAGATGCATGAGTCTTCCTCCATCAAGGGCACAATACGCAGCCAAAGGCTGTTACGATATACAGCAAGACGATACCGAGGCACACGGATTCAACACAGCAGCGATCGGCACCATACAGGACGGGACAAAACTTGTGCAGTCAACGGTCGAACGGCACTCCCCTCCGAAACTACACGTGTTCAAAATTTCGAATGATAAAAAGGTCGGCCACTGAACGACAACGGTCACGGGGCCATATAGGGTCAAACTGGTATTTGAAGCCTCTTACTGAAGATGCAATTCTGAAATTATTTTAGCAAATCTAAATGACTTGTGCCGAGTCACCGTCTTATTGCGAAAATTGGGGACTGGCCCATAGGCCGCCTCTCAGCCCTCTCTCGCAGAAGCCCACAGGAAGGAGAGTCCTCATTCAGTAGGGGATCGCCTTCTGACGGGGCTACTTGTACGGGTGCACTTGAATGTTGGCCTTGATGTTGGTCTTGATAGAGCTGGGCGCCTTGTTCACATTGGGCACTGAGGGAGACATCAATCGTTATAACAGTAGAAAATGATGTTTGCATGCTTGCTTAAATGGTTGGCCGCAGGCTTATACATACGATAACCAGCGACTCACACTTGACTTGGGAGCACGTCAAAACGTGAAAACAAAACGATGGATAGTGTGGTGAAACACATGCCAGGGTAGGTAATTCCGCGACCCCCTGCATCGCTGTCGCTGTAAAAGAACATTACTGCAGTTATAATGCAAGATCTAAGGTTACCAGCAGGCCTTAGCTCATGATGAGATTACACATGCGTTCCAGCATGCGTAATCATCATGAAGATCGCTAATCTGTCATTCGTCATAGTTCCCACAGCTTTCCAGGACAATTTGAGTGTCAAGATGGAGTTCCTCGATCGATTGTTAGCCTTTCTCCGCTACCGGCAGGACTGGCATAACGAAACCTCCATCACAAGCCTTTTTTGGTTTAGGATGCCACAGGATGGAGCCACTCAGCCCGCCATGCTGGCGGGCGATCACCAACCACTGCTGCCCACTCCAGCGGCACGCCACGCACGCTGTCATACACAAACCCCCCATTGCCGCAGCCATATCCTCCACAACCGGCACCCATCCCAGCTGAGCCGTCTGGGCCGACGGGCGGGGGCGGCGGCGGCGGCAGGACACGGCCGGTGCGTACTCACTCTGCACGGGCGCCGGGGCTGACATGGAGGCCGGGGCGGACCTGCTGGGCGGGCCGCTCTTCAGGCCCTTCCCTGCGGTGCGGAGGGCTCCGGTCAAGCGTGCCGCCAGCACGACAACGTGGAGGGGCACGGGAGAGGCAGGCTCAGGCCGGTTCCTACCGCACCACACGTACCGTGGCCAAACACTGCCTACTACACGAAATGGTATTACGATAACGAGCTGAGTATGGCCAGATCATACTGGTGAATGCTGTGCATGCTCAAGCTATTTGCAAGCCCGATGCTCGGCTGGCGGCCGGTGTCAGCCACCTCTGAACTCCGCGACGTATTCGACGTTCGGAGGGCCAGTAGATGCACCACATCCCGCAAGTCGAACGATCGCGCCGGGACTGACACCGTCCCGCTCGGAGGCAGTCCCGTGCCGCGCGGGCCGGGCCGCCCCTTACCGGTGCCGACGGCGGCGATCAGTGCCTGGGTGTCGGCCACAGACGACGTCTGGCCCAGCTGGGCGCGCGCCGATTCGCTCTCCCAGTCGTCGCGCGCCTGCGTGATCGAGTCCAGCAGATTGTTCACCACCTTGTTCATTGCCGTCACCTGTTTCTGTGAATATGAGCGGTCGGCGTTCAGTAACGCGCACCACTTCCAGTGTTGTAACGGCTCGCATCTGATGGCACTATCCAAATTCAAGTGTGAACGCTCCTCAGCACAGCCGGAAAACTCGCCACAGGAAACAAAGCCAGCAGCCTGCTTCGCATGCCACTGCAGTCCATCCCCTTCACCACGACCATCACCGGCTTCCTAGCCACACCGTTCGCACCCCTCACCTGCGAGGCGTCGGCGCTGACCGTGGAGGCCTTGGTCTCGACCTGCTGCAAGCGCAGCTCCACGTGTGGGTCGTGCTTGGTACGCAGGTAGTGTGGCACCAGGTCGTGCGCGAAGGCCGGCACGCGGCCCTCGGTCAGCCGCACCAGCTCCTCATCACGCTCCGGCGACAGCAGCAGCGGCAGCGTCACGCGGTTGCGCAGAAGTGGCGTCTTCTCGTGCTTCAGCACGCGTAGTAGGTTGTTCAGCTGGCGGCCCGGCGGAAGGTCAGGTCGTCACGTCACGTCACGTCACGTCACGTCACGTCAGGTTGGGTCAGGAGTGGTGGCCGGCGACCGACAGGCGACGACACTATGGCGGGTTATGGAGGGTTTCTGGGCAGTTAAAGTGACCAGGATTGCGGTCACGGCTGCAACACGCAGGCTCGGTCCTCAGATCCCGCCGCCTCAGCGTCCCTAACCCACGAGCAAACCTGTTGCCAGCCATGTGCCAAATAATGTCTGCAATTGGCTTTGGGGCCCTGAGGCTTCGAGGCTTCATAAATTGTCGGTTTTAGGTGGTTTCACTACCAATAACGTAAAATGGCTCCCGATAAGCTCGGGAAATTCGTACGTTTTTGGTGGGAACGTCTCTGAACATTCGTCTCACACGTGTAACACCAGCTTAAGCTGCACCATGAAACTAGCAGTCTTCATAAACCGCTGTCGATCCGGCGAAATCTACGCCGTTGTGGGTGCGTCTCAGCACTGCAATATAGCAGGAAGGGAGCACCAAACAGAGCAAAAGTCATACACTGTCATCCTACTGACAAACTGTCATGAACACACCTGGCCGGAGAGGAGCGCAAAGCTGTCCAGGAGGGAGGGCCAGCTCATGTGCTCGTGCCCTGTCTCCAGCTTCTGCAGGGTCTGGCCGATTGACTGCTTCAGGTCGGTCAGACGCTGTGAGAAGGCATCCAGTGCGGCGTCCAGCGCCTTCTCCTCACGCTGCCATCAAGACGCTTGTGTGTCATTGCGGCCCTTTTTCAACTAACCATTTGCAAGGAGAGCATAACACTAAGATCATATACCACATGGGATTGCAGTCATATAAAACCCACAATGCAGCATTTAATTTTGCTCCAGCTCATTGATGACTCCCAGGTGGCAGCCAGACAATGGTTAAGAGGTCTTATCTGATCATTGCTGTGTAACGATTTGTTCACCCAGTAACACTGGTTTCTGACCAAGCCCCAGCCAGTCAAGATGCTGGCTGGATCACACAATTGAAATACTATAGGAAAAGACCCTGACATCAAAGATTTCCTAATCAATATTTATTGAATCCCTGAAAGCATTAATCAGTTAATGGAGCAGCAAACAATCTTGTACAAAACAGGATATAAACAATCATGTTCACACAGAACAGCTTGAGAATGTCATTTGAAAAATGGAAAGCATGGTTAAAATAGGCCAAGAATGGACCCATCAGGCAAGGATCATGAAAAATTGTTGGCCATTTCAACTGGTGTTGTACTTGCAATCAGTGTGGTCTAGGAACTAACGATACAGGCCTCCATCCCCATACTCAGCAGCTGAACATGCCATTATTTGCAGCATATTAGCAAATGTAGGTCATTCTGGAATTTGGAGAAGTGTGTTTGTGTTGAGAGCTGTCATTGAGATATGTTGCCAGGCCCATGAACACAGAATATAAAAAATAAAATTATCCAAATGTTTAACTATCTGTGAGATAAAGAAACATCTGGCTTCATGTTGTTTACATATCCCAGCTTTCTAAGGACCCATTTCAAAGTGAACCATTTGCAGCACAGAACTAATTCCAATCTGGTACAGAAACTTGCCAACCAAATGCAAAAACACCTGAGTGCTGTCAGATAAAATAGCAATCAGGCCTTTTTGCCTTTGAATGGCAGAAATGTGGGCAAATCTGAAAGGAATAATATGGTGCTCTGGTCAACATGGCATTATAGAGTTGAGTTACCAATGCTAATGAAAATGGAAAATAGAAATAAATACTCCCAGCAGTAATTCTATAGCCTTTCATGCCTAGCCTGCTCCATGAGAACATAAAATCGGGTCACATATTTGTGAAGCTGCTTTTCTTACATGATACTCCTATACTGAATTTTGTCAACAGAAGAACATGAGATCATGCAGACAGCACAGATGTTACTAAAAATGGTGATATAAGTAAACACACTATTACTTTTTCTCACCATGCAGCTTATATTCTGATGACATTTTGAATAACTAGGAAAAGTGCAGATTTCATGCTCACAACTCCCAGGTATAATAGAATGAAGATGATACCTATGCCACATAAAAACACAGCAGCCTAGCCACATAAAAAGCAGCTTCATCAATACAACTAAGCAAATCAGCCTCAGGTAATAAATGGTCCTGAAAGATCATAAACATCTTTTTTAGCTGAAAATAGCATAACCATTACACAGCCACCAAGAAAATTGTTGGCAATGCCCACACCATGCAAGCCCCCACACAGGTGTGGGTATACATTCCTGCCTAACATTAGAAAAATCATCGTACACCATTTGTCGTGTTTAAGGCGGAACATGTCATAAATAATCTTAAAACAGGTAGATTCATACTCCTACCTTCAAATTTTAATTTTTTTACTTTTTACGATATTTACGATAATTTTATTACTTACGAGAGCGAGCTCCCAAGAGCCGCACGGACCCCACCGCCTTAACTTCCCAGCGCCGTTTCTGCGTTGCCATTGTGTAATTACAGTATTTTTGCTTATTAAGAACCATGAAAAATTATGAGACAAAGGTAACAATAATGCAATGAAAAACGTTTCTTATAGTGTCTGGGTACGTTTATGAAACGGACAGGCCAGAATAGCCCAGAACATAGCCTAACATATTCTCATTTTGCTTTCCATTCCCATGCAAAAGCATCACATTTCCCCACCATGTTGATCAATCCACAAACAATATGGAAGACTGCTTGGATATGCAAGAAATACATTTTAATGAATTCTTGTTACCTTGGCCTTGTACATTTTTCTGGTTCTTGATAGGCAGTAATGTCGTGATCACACAGTAATGCTGGGATCACGCATAGAAATGGCGCTGGGGTTGCAGTTGCTGCGTGCTTGCCCTTGGGTGTGCGCTATGGCAGTTACATAAGTTCCAAGGTAAGAGCTTAGATGACCTGTTTTATTATTAATTATGATACATTCTGCCTTAAAAACAGCAATTGATGTACACTGCTCTTTCTTAACATGAGGTAGGAATGTATACCCTGACCCCCACACATGATGTCAAGCACAAAATGTTTATCACATCTTTCTAAATGCTTTGCACTGGCCCCAAACATAATTCCTGGAAACATAACCAGAAATTGTTATCACCCCTACCCAAATAAATAATGTTGACCTTGTACCCTAGCAATACAATGCGGTTGACATGGAAGGAATTCAGGGTTACCTTATTAAGTTTTAAACTACATTAGCACAGATGTAACATGTTCCTGGAAAGTTGTAAATGCTGAGGGAAGGGATGCACATCTCAAAAAGCTTACCATTTAAGCATCATATGTTGACCTGACTTCTGTGCTGCTTAAATGGGACTTTTTGATAGCTGAAGTCAAAAGACTTTGCTACCAATCAAAATGAAGTGGAAATTGGGGCCAAGCGCCAAGTGGCAAATAACGTTACCATTCCTTTGGCACGTCCCCCCACCACCCCCACCACCATCAACTGCAGAAAGTGAAGCTCCTGGTACACGTTCATATTCTGCCTCCCACCAGTGTAAAAACTGACCTGCATACTCATTATCCGGTTACTCAGCAGTCAACACTTCAGCCAACAACGCCCCGACTTCCTCTAGCAGTCTGTACGCCCGCAGGTTAACACAAGGCCTCCTGGTCTGTCCCAGGACATTGGCCGCTCACAAGGCTATCTGCGGTAGACCAGTAGAGACTACCCGGCTGGCGCCACAAGTGTATCCGTGCATCAAGCAGAAAGTGTGACATTTGTGACTTGTCATGAGCTGTGACAAGTACTATGTTACGAAAGCAAGCTGTGTCAAAGCTGCAGATGTTTGAAGCGTAAATTTGAGAGGAAAAGGCATTCACAATAGCCTGAAATGCCCTCCTCACAGCGCCCTCCAGAGGGCTCGCTCCCTAACATTGGCACAGGTAGGGGGGGGGGGGGGGGGATTGTCAGGTGTGCGTGCCTCTCGTGGGTCCCGATTCGAGTGCTGGAAGGGACCAAAAGGTAGCCTGGAAGTCGTATTTAGGCGCCAGGTCCGCTGAGCCGGGCACTCCGATGCCAGCCGGGTAGTGTTTTGCGCATATCGGGGCCCCCTGAATCGATAAGGGCCTTAAGGTTGGTCAGACACCACCAGTACCGCACAGTTAGCTCCTTGTTGGTATGGGCCTGAGGTATCATTTTCCATCCAGGGACAAATCCGGGGCCAGCAATTTACATCGGTCGGGCCTCAGTGCGCGTCAGAGGCCCACAGCGCCACGCAAGTGGTCCTGTGTTGGCAAGGGACCCCCAGGCGGCAAGAGGTAGTGTTCGAGGAGGTCCGAAGAGAGCTTGGGGAGCAGTGGTTAATGGTCTGATTGAAGGGTCTAAGGGCACGAAGGACTGATCGAGGGGGCTCGGCCTACGGGAACAAGCCCTCAAAAAAGCAGTTAGAGGGCCATTTGCACCAACCAGGGACAGCCTGAGCCCGTATGGGTCTGCGTGTCGGTCAGGCGTCACCAGTACCGCACAGTCGGCTCCGTGTTAATATGGACCTAAGGGCTCGCTTTCCAAGCAGTGACAAAACTGGGACCAGCGATTTACGCTGGAAGGGGCCCCTCTATCCGAACCTGTCAGCGGCCCACAGGGAGTAACAGGGTTGGCAAAGGGTCCCGAAGAGCCGAAGAGGAGCTGGGAGGGACCTTAAGACCCCTCGGGACCAAAGATGAACGGTCCGATGGAAAGGCTGAAGGGTCCGAAGTGACCGAAGCACTGGCAGTAGGTCACATTAAAAGCTGCCCCCCGGCCCGGGGGCCGTGACCTTGAATGTCAATCAGAGGGTCTCTTGCATCGCTTTCGGATCCCTGAGGCAGTGCGTTCTTCTATTTTGGCTAGAGATCGCCAGCACCGAACAGTCGGGCCCGTGTTCCGTGTCTGAGCTCAGGGGGCCATCTCCCAAGCAGGGACAAGGCCTGGCCGCGATTTGCATTGGTCGGGGACCCTGTAACATTGCGGTGCTCCTTTGTCGGTCAGGAGCTCACAGTGCCGCCCCAGCACAAGATCAGATGGCCTGACAAATGCTAACCTCTCTGATCCCCTTCAAAATTTCACAGGTGTGAGACATGCTAGGTTGCGTAGGCAACTCCCGACTTCGCGCTGGGCTTTGAGAGCCGTGACCTCTGGAGGTCATCGGAAAACAGATCAAAATCAGACACGGCCAATTAAACCATGTGAAAGCCGAGTTAGCAAGGTGCGCTTGACATACCGAAGCCCGTCTTAACTTGTTCTAATAGAATTCGTTTATCCATCGCATCAGGGTATCGAATTCCAAGACGTTAGATGACCAGATGCCTTTAGAATTCCCTGATGATCGACTAACCAAAGACGATGACCGACCTGATGATCAACCTGATGACCGACCAAAGAAGCGAGGTCAGATCAGGTCATTTGATGCAGTTGAACTCCTAGAGCAGCCCCGGATACTCCTCTCCTAGCCTGCCCCTGTGCGCCGCCCAGCTCGTACCCTTGCGTGGGTCTCCGCGCTGAGCACTGAGCTGAGCTGAGCGCTGAGCTGAGCTCAGCGCTGAGCTGACCTGAACGCTGAGCTGGGTGCTGAGCACACCCTACCCAGTTGGGTGGCCACCTTGCGTCTCCGTTCGGTGTGCTCGACCCTTCAGCTGGCGTATGTCTTACCGCCGTCGAACGATGTCGTATTTGTGCCTCTCGCCTGATAGCTGAAGTGGATTAGGTGGCCTGAGTGTGTTGGCTTGAGCCAGGTCTATCATGGCACTACGCCGATTCTGTCGTAGATCTACGACTCCTCGGAAGTACTTACGGCTGGGTATTGTTGCCGTGTAAGCGGATCGGGCTCGGTTGTCTCATGGGGTATCATATTTTTGGCCCCAGTGACTAGCATTCGGAGACGTGTTTGCCCAAGTGAGATGCTTCCACCTCTGTCGGTGCATGACAAGACCGTGAGTCAGATATTGTCCAACTGTTTTACGCAATTGAAAGAGGAAATATTGGCATATGCTTTAAAACACAATAACCTAATGCTTTCCCGTTCGCTGGGTGCTGGGACATGTCTGAAAATGGAGAGATCTATGCCTATTTCGTTGAGTGCATTGGTGAATGCCAGCCGCGCTGGACGCAGCAGGGATTTATCAGCACACCCTAAACTGCGCGCCTCACGTCACGCGCCGCGCCAAACGCAAGGTGCACTACACCATTATGTAGTGTGGCTGCCCCTCAGTTGCTCATTCAATGCGCAAACGCAGTTTTTGCATTTGAAATGTGTCTTTTTATGGGCAGTGCATAACTCTTTCTCAACGCAGTGTTAATTGTGAACGATGCCCCCTACTGTGCATTTATAAAATTATGGCGTAATATCTTACGGTCTGCATTGAGCTCTGTGTTACCGGGATGCAACCGGACGTTGCTTGGATTGCTTAGAGAAACATTATGCGGTACCGGCGATACGAGTGAGTGAAGGTGAGCTTGGAACATCGCATGTCTCATGCTCGACACGAAAGATGCCCCCTATTCACGATGATTGTGTGTGGACGGAACGACTGTATTACGAACAATCCCGTGACTCGCAGCGAATCGGCTGCGAAATAGCACCGCACGTTTGCAGCATAACAATCCACAGGAGATCCCGTTGCCCATGAGGTAGATAATAACACTGGCCAGAGCGCAGTCTGAGTCCCAATTCTTCACATCAAGTGGACAATGCCTGGTCCTTCACGATTTTCTCATTGTCACTCTTACATCATTAATGGAATCGCCTTCAATCATTACCGGAATGCTTGGTCTTCCACCACACTCGCCCACAAACATTCATATCAGCGCAGCATTCGCATAGAACAGTAGTGAGGCAATTAAATCGCGATTAGCACGCTAACTGGTAACATGCCTCACCCTCCACCAACCTCCTTCACACGGTACCCGTATCATTTCCCACACTGTGTACCTGGAGATGCTCTGGCCGCGGTCGCGGATGACAACAACAAACCATGCGAACAGCTCGGTCGAGGCAGAAGGTTGCATAAACGTTCACTTCTTGCGGCGGCCCTTGGGCTTGACTTTGGGCGGCGGCAGAAGTCCCAGATCGCGCAGACGGGCCTTCTCCATGACAACACGGCGCAGAACGCGCAGCGTCTCCGGGCTGGCGCCCTGACCCTGGCGCACGTGCTTCCCGGTCAGCGTGCGCGGCGCGCGACGCCGCTGCTGCGGCTCGTCGGCCGTGCTGGGGGTACTGGGCGTGGGTGGTGGCGTGGCGGCTGGGCTGGTGGCCGAGCCGGTGGAGCCGGGCCGCCGCGCCGTTGCCGCCGCCAGCGGCGCTGGTGACGGTAATTTGGCCGCCTGCTGCCGTCGCAGCGCCTGCTGCAGCTGCAGGCCCTGCATCATGGCGCAATACTGCAGGTAAAACAGCGACGGGTAGGCCACGGCGTCGGTCTGCTGCAGCAGCAGCATCTGCCGCATCAGCTGGTGCGGCATCGGCGGCGGCGGCGGCGGCGGCGGTGGAGGCGGCGGCGGCGCCTCCGCGTCGACGGATCGCCGGCCGGTCTCCTCCGCGGGCCGCTCGCTCTGCCAGCGGCGCTCCGGCTCGCCGCCCCCCTCCCGTTCTCGCAGTAGGCTGACGGCCTCCTCCAGGCGCTGCTTCTTCAGCCGCGCGCGTGAGCCCTTCTGCGAGTGGCGCCGCAGCTTGTGGAAGGGGATGATGCTGTGTGAGGGCCGCACGCGGAGGTCCTGCACGCCCAAAGTGAGACCGGCGGCCTGCCCGGGCGGCGGGCCCATGGCGCGATCCATCAGGACATTGCGGCCGAGCGAGACGCTCACGTCGGGAGACGGCGACCGGCGCCGGCTTAGGTCTATCGGCAGCTCCTGACAGCCGCGTACGCCCAGCTCCGCGTAGCCACGCCCGCTCAGCTCCGGGTAGCCGCTCACATCCAGCTCCGGATAGCTGCGGCCGCTCAGCGCTGATTGAAGAGTCAGCGCCATAGTGGAGCGCTGTAGTGGGAAACGTCACGTCACGTCGTGCCATTTTCAACTGTCCATGAAATGCCACGAATGCAACCGAGCCGCGATCTTAGTTGATGTTGATTGGGGTTTTACGGCGGCTATTAAGAAGCGCGCATTCCCACGGATTAATGTTATAGGGCGATTGCTCGGTGCTAGTGATGTGGGCGAAAAACGATCCAACCGTGTTAGCAAGCTAACAAATTATCCGAATGTGCGCGGCCGAAACCGTGCTTATCCAATCCACCTTACTTGCATCCCAACCTTAAAGATAGTGAACCTCATCACCCAGCAAACATAGCTCGGCCACACCCCGTGAGGGCTCATTTGACATCGGCTGGTATCGTTAAAGCTGTGCTGGACAAAATTATGTTACTTTAAATAAATGCACTTGAGTCTGATGATAACTGACCACGCTAGATGCACCGTGCACTGGGCCGGAGGACACCGAAATCAAAACGTGCATCTATGTATTTGGAATAAACACAGAAGAGGTAGTCACAGCTAGAGCGCGGGCTGAAAATTTCCCTAATTGAGTCGCAAGTTGTTTTGTATCTTTGTTTTCCCAATGCATTGGCTGTCTGTTTTCATAAACTTGTCCCAACTCTTTCTGTTGCTACTGGTTGGAGTCTAGCCAATGGCAACCAGACAGTTGCAATGGAAACATTTCTCTGCTTCAACCCAAAAACTGAATAGCTTAAATAAAACTTACTCTTCGCAAATTCATACGTGTTTTGTGAGAACATTTAAGCAAAGATGTGTGTTTTGTTTGCAGGAGAATCTTGTTTTCCGGGGAAGCATGATGACCATTGCCTCGCATCACACAAGATGCGATCACATTCGCTGCGCAAAGATTACCGAAACTACCACGTATTTAGCAGCTGCACAACAGTAAAAAAAAACAGTCCAATTATCATTGAAAATAATCTCCCTGTGGCTTAAGAGCGGCACTCTCCGTTTAGACGCACACAGCCCACTGCAGAGCACAAGAGTCGTGCGCTACCAGTCGGCAGAACCGACCCTCACCTGTGCTGCGCGACGGCGTGGGCGGCACCGGCAGCCTGACCGGACCCGTGGAGCGCTCGCCCGCACCCGGGCCACTGCTTCATCCCTACTGGCTACCCCCACCAAAAAACAGGCGGCTCCCACGGGCCGTGCCGCCCGGGAGCCGCCCAGCGATTACGCCTCACCCCTTCAGCCAATCAGGCGCCGGCCGCCGAATTCTCTCCGCTTCAGTTACTTTTAGCTTTTTACCCACGGTCCCACACCGTACCGGAGCCCCTCCGCGGTAAACAGGGCCGGCGAATCGATACAGGGGTCAGGGGCCGCGGCCGCCGCCTGTTCCGCTCGCTGCCGCTACAGGTTGTTTGTGGCTCGGCCGGCCGCCAAGTGTTGCGTTTTGATAAGGAGTTGGGAAGGTCAGTGGCCGAGGAGACGTCGTCGCACCGGGCTCGGCCGGCTCGGAGGACTGGCCGGCTGGCCGCCCGCTCGGGCGCTGCCACCGCTAACGCCCGATCACTGTTTGCCGGCGGCGTGATCAAAACAGGCATTGTTTCGGTCGTGGGCCCCTGCCGGCCGGCCGGGGCGGGCCGACAGGCTTCGTCGCCGCCGGCAGCTCGCCCTGCAGCCAGCTCAGGGCGGCACGGGTCCGCTGCGGGCGACCCCACCCTTCCTGCTACTGTGCAGGCGGCATTTGGTCCCCGCCAGCGATGACTAATGGCTGAGGTTTTCCGTGTTATTTGACCTGCGGCGCACCCCCAGCGCAGGGTCTGTCAGCGCCAAATGACAGAGTCGCTCGGGACGGCACAGCGATGCTCGTGGGCTCGTTATGATGTCTGGACCATACCAGGTCTGTGCTTTCGGTGAGCGAATGTAAACTGAAGTGACCTATACCCACTTGCAATAGCGCGACAAACCCGAAAGACTGTTTCGATCCAGATGAATGTCGCGTTTGTCTAAGCCTGACAGCTCTGTCGAAGACTGGGTTAGCTTCGAATTGTTACATTTGATGCCGCACAAGCTTTGTTTCAAAATTTAAGCTTGCAAATCAAGAGGGCTAGATAGCAAAAGCATTAAGCGATTTAGGAAATGAGGTGTCTTCAACGAAAATCAATTTTTTGCCCGCTGTTAAATCACGGCAGATCGATGTTGAATGCTGCTTGAAAGCTGTCAAAACAATTGAACAAAATGCATTGTGAAGGAAGCTATAAGTGCCGAATTTGAAACGGAAGTCAAAACTGAAAAAATATGCGATCTTAACGGAGTGCAGCACAAACACCTTAAACAACAGAACACGTATACTGTTAGATGTAATCGCTACATAAGGGCAATCGCCGCAGTAGTGCAATGCTGCAGTGGTGTAAACATACGATGACATAGGGCTAGGCAGTCGGTCGATGCGGACCGGTCTGTCTTTTCTCATCCTATTTGTTTGGTATCGCCTCGTCTCGCGTTTTCTCGTATCGCAGAGATCTGGGATTCTCTTCTGTTGACCTTTGCTGATTACGATAGCCTTGAAAAGCTTTTGTTTGTGCTCGCATGATGTTAATATAGCACACTTGCCCCACAATAGGCACAAACGGCCATCATGGGGACGCATGTGTCGGGTCTGTATGTACATGTGACCTTAAGATATGCTGCTATTAGTCTTATATGTATGTCATGACGCAAACAGACGCAAACATTACGGTAAATGGCAAGGACTGGAAATGACAGATCGGCGTCTAGGACATAAGGATGCATTTGGGCATAATGATTCTGTATACTGTAGTAGCTAAGCTGTTTATAAAACACAGGTGCTGCGCGATACCCCTTTGCCACTCGACTAACACGTAAGTATTCTAAATGAAAATAAGATAATCCAATTTGATTGATTTTGCGGACATTTAATAACCGCGACAAACAATCGGCGTTTTATGACGGCATTGCGCATTGTTCTCGAGACACTAACGGCAAGAGATAAGAGCGATCATTTGAAAGTTGTTTTACCTACCAAGTTCTCAGCTATATTACCTTGGCACGTGATATGCTATTTTCTTTCTTGGGGATGACAGCGATGCTGTTGGAGTTGGCATTCCGAAAAATGTTCTGCTCATCTAGTGTTTTTCCAGTGTTATAACTAGCAAGTACATCTTGCTTTTCATTCGCTCATTGTGCTGCGATTAGCAACAATGTTTAACGATGCCAGCAGCTTCCTGAGCCGATTGATACCTTGGAACAACGCAGGCCACCTACATTGTTACATGTCATCACGCAGAAGTACGGAGGCGCTAAATTTCCCAACGTCGCGAAAGTGACGACTTTGGGTGTTGCATGTAACTAATGCCTGTGAAACCCTTGATGCCGCGAAAACTTGATGGTCGTTCGGTGGGGCATTCGTTGATGCGCAGCAACACCCCGCAATTATGTAGCTGCACCAACCTCCCCCGAAATCAGGGGGAAAATTCACAAGTTGCATGTGATCTGATCATTGATGATCAGACCACATGCAAAATATTCACATCACCTGACATACCCATGGAAGCGACCGATATACGCCTGCGTTCGGCCGCTCCAGGCGAGGACGGGCGACGCGCGACCGCCCGGCATTCTCCCCTGCCGTGGCGCTATATTTAGGCCGTGCGCTGCTATTTATGCCGACCCTGCGTGTTAGGCCACCCGCAGTACCTTGGTGTATGGCGGTGCAGTCGACACTCCACCGGCCGGCTGATCGGCCGGCGCACCGATTTAGCTCGGCGAATCGAGGCTTCCCAGCGCAGCCATTCCATTCAGGAATACCCAAGTCGTGACGTACACGTACGGGGGTGCATGCGAAGGCCGCAAACAGGGAATGGGAGCATCTCCTGTATGGCATCTTGGGCGAAAGAATCTTTGCATAATGCCCTTCCCGAAATAGCATTATGCCCGGTTCGGGGTGTCACGTCATCGCACTGAATCTCTCTTGTCGGGGTTTCTATTCTCATGGCACCTGCCGGCTCCTGGCTAGAGTGTTCAAGGACGGATAGGAAATCCGGAGGGGGAAGAGAAAAAATCAGAAGCAAACTCTTTCTCCTTCTTTTTTTCTCTCTCCCTCGCGTCTGATCATCTCCTTATCTCTCTCTCTCTCTCTCGAGAGAGCTCTCTCTCTCGCGCTCCTCGCTCTGTCTCGCCTCTTCTCTTCTCTCCTTCTCTCTCCTCTCTCTCCTCTTCTCTTCTCTCTCTCTCTCTCTCCCTCTCTCTCTCTCTCTCACTCTCTCTCTCTCTCTCTCTCTCTCTCTCTCTCTCTCTCTCTCTCTCTCTCTCTCTCTCTCTCTCTCTCTCTCTCTCTCTCTCTCTCTCTCTCTCTCTCTCTCTCTCTCTCTCTCTCTCTCTCTCTCTCTCTCTCCCCTTCCCTCGCGCCCTCCGTCCCGTCCCGGCCACGCGTACGCGGCGGGTGGTTCGTGACGTCACTCGACCCCGCTCAGTGGTTGGCGGTCGGCCGGCCGGTCGTCGACATTCCCCGCTGTTTACGCACAAAAGGGTTCGGCGTTGTTTACCAAAAATTCTACCGTTGGTAACTTGAGGGGGCCGCGCTCAATAGCGTAGTTAGATAGGAGGTAATTTTACAGTGGGTTCAACGGCCGCGCGTAACCCCTGCGCCCGGGCCGGAACGGTACATGGCGGGGCGTGTGCGTGCGCGTGTGTCCGATACGCAGAAGGGAGGGGACACGCGGTGGTCACTCCCCGTGACCACGCGGAAGCGAGGGGTGGCCGGCTGTGGCTGGCTTCTGTGAGAACGCTGGGCCCGGGGCCATTACCGACGATATGCAGATGACGCGCTAGCAGGCGACAGGTGCGGGCGAGGGCAGGGGTTGTGGTTGATTCGGGAGCAATGTTGTGATGGGTTGGTGGAGTAGAGTGGCAGGGATCAAGTGGTTTACGCTTATTTTGTGTGAGGCGGGTTGTAACGAAGGAAGCGTTCAAGCACAGTGTGTGTTCATATTGGAATTCTAGCCCAATTTGTTTCATGACATAATGGAAATAAGTTAGGTATATGATATCAATTATCGTGCACCGGATATCTCGGCAGAGTAAGAGGCTTTGAACCATTTTTGGGCGTGTGATGTGTTCATGGCACAGACCTAACACGTAATATTTGAAATGTTAGGAGCGTTCACTTTCTGGAGACCTCCAGCCCTGGTTATATGTATGGGGTTTGAGGTTGTAAACTGAAGCCCGTGCAGAGTATGTAGTTCATCCTTCTAATACTGTCAAAGTTGAAAGCATGCACTAGCCCTAAAGACAGGGCTGCACTCAGATTCGGTGTATCTTGAGTGCACTCCAAGATAGCATTGCTGCTGGCAAACGCATCAAATTTTTAGCCTTCTTCCATGCATCAGCTCCTCGCTTTTAATACTGTATGAATAACTTGGATGTTCATAGTGATTCCTTGACTTGTCGAATCTGCCACAATTGAACATCATCAGCAGGGAGAACAGCTGCAAATAAGCAAACGTATGTTAGCGGTTGTGTGGTCTTTTTACACACAGGGAGGTTTGAAGCCATCCATGTACTAATAGTTGCCCAGGTAAGTGGCATTATACGTTTCAGAATGTCATAACATGATCACATACTAATTTTTCTATAGTGCCTTCGCACTTAAGATGTGACGATCCCACCATCACCACACACCCAGCAGTTGGTCTCGTATTTTACATCAGTATTGTAGTGAAATCAGCAAGATGTGGGTTTCGTAACGGTTAACATTTAAATACAGCCTTGGAACGACAAGGATGCGCCGCCGCAGAGTCGCATGTCTTCAACGGTGGGCCTTTCCCTTGTTCAAAGAATATCCAGCTGTCTCAGTCCCGAACTAGAATAGATTACATCTTAGAAAATGTTAGTAATAGGTCGCGCATGACTTCGACTACCATAAACTTGGTTTTCACGTGACCATGCCGAAGATTTTGGAAGTTATTCCGTGCATTAGCAAGCAACATTAGTCACATAGATAAGACAGCAGTATTAGCCTTATTCCTCGAGAAAAAAAAACAGGAGAATGGAGATGAAGTTTGGTTGATATTTCATCAACACGCCTTTATCGAAACAAAAGCAGAAGTGGATTTAAAATTGTCTGCGGATGATCCGACC